CTATTTGTGCCATGGTAACTGTGCCAGCCTGCCAGCTCAGACACAGATTCCACCTCTCGTCTCCCTCTTTGCCAGCATGATGACTCAGCAGCTCCTGCAGGGCTTCTGCCTCCTCCCTCCTCAACCTCGGTGATACACCATGCTCATCAGACAAAGTAGTGTTTTGTCATCCTCTTCTTTAGCTGACCTGAATACAAAACAGACCCAAATAATAAAGCGTCCAACTAGATTAATATGTTGCACTTTTAAAATGTCAGCTATAAATGATTGTGGCAATAACATGTTGGCTTTAATCATACTTAATGTCTCGTAAGCAGAAAATTCCTCAAATGGTTAAAATCACAGCTGCCTACAGTGGGAGAAATAATTATTTAATCCTCTGCTGATTTGCATTACAAATCACATTGATTTACATGTCATTGAGTGAAATAAGTATTTGATCCCCCAACCAAAACATGACTTAGTACTTGGTGGAGAAACCTTTGTGGGCAAGCACAGGAGTATGATGTTTCTAGTAGTCGGCCACCAGGTTTGCACACATTTTAAGATGGATTTTACAGAAACTCACAAAATCCTTTAGGTTTCTTGGTTACCACTTGGTAACTCAAAGTTTCAGCTCCTTTCACAGACTTTCTAGAGGATTGAAGTCTGGAGACTGGCTAGGCCATTCCTTGACCTTAACAAGCGTATTCTTTAACCAGTCTTTTGTTGACTTGGTTGTATGTTATGGGGTCATTGGAAGACCCATCCATGACCCATCTTCAGTTGACGGAATGAGGTTCTCGTCCCAAGATTTTATTGTAGCTTTTTGTGTCTATTGGCCCCGTGACGTTTTGAACTTGTCTTGTAACTTTAGCAGTAAAACAGCCCCAAAACATAATGTTTCCACATGTTGTATCTGTGAAGGTTCTCAGTCTTCCAGGTCATCGTAGTCTAAGGAGCTTGGAAAGAAAAGTCTCTGGACTTCTTGAAGTTGCTTGAAGACATTTCACCTCTCATCCGAGAAGTCCAGACGCTACGCTTTTGTTTCCACTTGTTCTTTGGGTCATACTCGGCATTTCTCTTCCTCCAAACATGGCGGGTAGAAAGCTTGATTTTTGGTTTCATTTGACCACAGCCCTTTCTCCCAAGCATCTCCGAATCATTTAGACGTTTCTTGGCAAACTTAAGATGGTGATGCTGAAAGACTTTTGTCCCTGTTGCAACTTAGTGTGTCCTAATATAAATTTTTGGGTTTTCCACCACCTTGCTCTTGATTATCCTCACCCCATGAGTCAAGATCTTGCATGGAGCTAAAGATCCAGGCTGATTGGTGGTCCTTTTATATTATTTATTATATTTCATTCATAATTGCACCAAGGGTTGTCACCTTCTCACCAAAGTTTTTGCATTTGTTCTGGTAGCCCATTCTAGCCTTTGGACAGCTCTTTGGGCTTGTCCACAGTGGTGGAGAGGTTGGAATGAAAGAAATTGATGCTGTTGATAGGTGTGCTTTATACACATCAGGAGATGAGATCAGGAGTGTCTGTAGTTGATGGATTGTAATTTGTGTGCCACACGTGTGGAACCAGAATCTGTGGCGGCCAGAATTTTGGGTTCTGAATTCTGGCTCGATTGTAGGGGATCAAATACTTACTGCATTTAATAACATGCAAATCAATTTTATACATTTTTTGTAAAGGGTTTTTTCTTGATTTTTGGCTGATATTCAGTCTCTCTCCATTAAAAAGAAACTACTAAAAAATTAGAGACTGTTAATTTCTTTGTAAGTGCGCAAAATTACAAATTCAGCAGGTGATCAAATAATTGTATTCCCCACTATGCATGCCTTTTGGTCCAGTTGCACCAGTAACAACATGTGAGTAGCATGTTTAATTATCTCTATCTAATCACTTTAAGCTCCGCTCAACTTCTTAGAGTAATGCTTATCAAGATGGCCCTCTGGAGTGAGATCACTGGAAAGAGTCTGGGAAGGAATTGTGGCATCATAAAATGGCAGCGGCGACATGCAGGATCACTTTCAAGTTTTTCTAGGAGCGCTCGGCAGCAGTCTACCCTAACATACTTCTCGCTGAGCCATGTCTATTTCAGGTGTTTATCTTAGATTGTACACACAAGGGCTTGTTTGTGTTAAGCTAAATGTAATCTTTTATGTCTGCTCATACAAGGTCGGTACCTACGCAGAGAAACTGAAGCCCTCGTAAAGAACGTCTTTGGTGGAAAAAGTATTTCTATTCTGTACTTTACTGAAAGAAGGAACGTCTCCTCCATTTAGAATGACGGTATTACCACCTGAATGTGCCTCAGAAAATTAAATGCAAAGTTACTGTATAACTAAAGGGCAAGCAGATCAACATTTTCTTTGTAGCATACTTGAGTCAAATTTTACCACTGGAAAAGAGGAGCTCAGAGCATAGTAAATGGCATCCAATGCAAACTGACATTTCACTTTCAAGGAAGGCAAAGAGAAGGAATGCACATATAACATTATTTTCCTCAAAGTATTTTAATGCATATCAAAATCAGGGCAGCTTTCTAAAGCTTTTAGCATTTCCTTCTGCCTTATAGTATTGTAAGGCTTATTACAATATTGGCTCCAACCACAATAAGCGACTGGGGAAAATATATCTTAAGTTGTAATAAGCATGTGGGGTTCATACCAGTTCCTATTACATCACAACTTCAGAGGACATAGGAAGAGGGAATTAGAGGAAAGATGGGGGTTGAGACAGAGTGGGGGAATGAGAGCACACCCTTGGCAGGATGTCAGCTCTGTGAGCACACACTACACAACGCTGCCAGAGAATTCAATACGCAGGGGTAGAGGGACGCAACACACACACATTCACAGTACGACAAAATTGTCTGCTCAGATCAGTTTTGCAGATGCTAGCTCTGCTTCTTTTCCTTCCCTAAGAAAGCCTTCTGAGGTTTCCAATATCATGTCTGGCTCTGTATTTATGAAGTCCAAGCTGTTAGCTGGGTTTATGATATGCTACCAACTAGCCATGGCCTATTCATAGGTGGGAAACAGTTTACTGTGCTTATGCAACATAAATATTGCTATTAATGCATAAAGTATACTTTGAATTCATGCATATGCATACTGTACTGTTTGAAACTTGCAGGGACTTCACATTTTTTGGTTATCAAGTCTAACTGGTACTTTGCTGTATGTTTAGCTGTATGTAAAGGAAGACCCGGTGACTCATGAGGTTTGTTTGTTTTTTTTTAAAACTCAGACTAAAATATTTGCTGTCTGTCCAAGAAGCGCACACATACCCAGTGAGTGCCTCGTTCCTTATAGCTTGTTAAAGACAAAGTGTTTGAGTAGGCGAGATGAACTGAGACAGACATAATTTCATTGCCCCGTGGAGGCTGTTTTGGCAGTAAATATAAACAAAAATGCAGCAAATCATTTGCCTGCACTAATTGGTGCCATTAAGCAGAGCCTTGTGACATGCTCTACTTAGTTAATTGAGGTTAGTTATTGATCTGTTCAGTGTTTGAGTCAGCATGTTGTGCTTGATGTTGTCTTTTTTTGTTTCTTACCAGTCGTATGAGTCAATATATCAAGATAACGAGGAACATGCATCTGTTTTATTTGGCCTGGGATTTAAAATATATTTTTTTGCCTTCTACACCTCTGCTTATCTCTTTGTCCCGTTTCCTCCGGCTTTCTGACTCCATCACAGCTCTGCCTGTCCCCCCGCTTCACCTACCCCACCCTTTCAACAGCATGGCGCCCTTCTTCTCACTGTCCCTCTGGGCGCTGACACTAGACACCTCCTCGTCTCGCTCCCCCCACAGCCACCTCCCTCCTTTTAGCCTAACTGAGTGTTGCGGCCCACCGTGACCCACATCTCTCTCGCACGCTCGCCCCGTTCTCTGCCCTTCTCTGACCCACTGTCCCCGAGTTGCCCCTGGGCCGTTCCTCCCTTGCCTCCTCATGCCCGTCTGCCTCGTGCTCTCCGTGCCTCCATCGCTGTTCCCCTCTCCTCTCCGGTCCAAAGGGAGCAGACAGAGCTCCCGATTATCTCTGTGTGGCAGCCTCTGTTTTGTGCTCTAATTAAAGGAGCAGCATGTGGTCTGTGTGTGAGCGGGCTGTGTAGACGCCGCCGTTGGCCTAATGCTAACATTACGTGCTTAATCATTTATGTCTGGGAGACGGGCACAAAAGCTTGGAGGGGTTGGGGTATTTATCAGCGGCGCAGATGCACTGAGGCGCAAACGCACATGGTGCCAAGAAAACGTTCCCGGTGTTTGGTATAGCATAAACGGGGCACGCTCTAAGCTACGTGTATGCTCAACACTTGCATATCAGCTTTATAAAATGGTTATTTTGGAGTTTGCAGTGTGAGATAAACAGGTGAACTGTGTCAAAAAAAATCTGTTCAAAATGTTAAAAACCCTACTACTGCACAGCGTATGTGACGGTTCCTACAAATGTATTAAATATTGAACGATTAGACTGTCACCAGGTCTCTAAACGATAGTATTCGGGCACCCACACTGTCCTCCTCTCTTCTTTCTCCTCCTCCTCCTCTTCATGTCTGTCTGCTCCTCTCCCCTCACTGCCAAGCAGCCTGTCCCTCCAACACGCACACACACACACTCACGCACCGAGGCAGCCAATAGGAGAGCACCAGTCTCCCCATTGCTTGCCACTCAATGCCTTGTTGCCAGGACAACAGGAAGGCATGAGACCCACTTTACTTGAGCATTTTAAACTTGGTGTTGACTTTTTTCCCCTGAAAACAAGAAAAGGTCTCCCTCTGTAAAATCACTCACTCTAATATTCCTACCTCAATGGGGAAATCCTGCCATTTTCAGTCCGTCTTATGCCATTTTCAGTCCGTCTTATGAAGTAGTCCTCTGAAAGGAATTTTCACAAAGATATCACCAGTGTGCTGATATAGAAAGATAAAAATCACGATTTCATAGTTGGAGTGCCACGTTCATTTTGTTTTTGTTTTCATTTTTTCCCTCCCCCTCTCCAGGTCTACAATGACGAGTGTGGACATGTTTCTGTTAGTTGTGATCACACTGGTCCTCCCCTGTTCAAGCTTAGAAGGTAAGTCTCTAATAATAAACCAAAAGGCTGCTTTTTACGTCAGACCTGAACAGGAGCGGTATCGAAAGGGACGGAAAGTTCCTGTCGACAAAACCAGACAGGATCCAATTCGGTGTAGTGTCCGTGCTAGATATCCACAGAATAAACAATATGTACAGTGCTTGAAAAGTTGTGTTATGGACATCTGAAATACCCCCTCCTCCTGTGAGCTAATTAAAATATGCAGTGTTACTTCTGTTTCTTTCACTGTCCCCCTCAAGTTTCTTGCATGCATAGAACAAAATTCATGCTGCCCCCCTGTTTCACCACCCCTCCTCAGTCTGTCTGCCTTTCATCTGCTGTCTGTCAGTGTTATTTTAAACTACTGCAGTGGCAGCAGATTACAGTAGAATTTTTTCTTTATTCTGGCAAGCAAAACTTTCTCCCTACATCTTCAGTATGTATTATCTCTACATGCAAACAAGTAGCGAGCATTGATCATTTATTGTGATTAAACATGAAGGGTCATATTTCTGCCCTCAGTATTGATCATCTACTGTAGGACCTCTGTCTTCTCAGACATGAATCCTGATCTTCTAATTGTTTCCTCTTGCAGGTGAGGGCAGTGTGAGAAATGAATGTTTATGTGACGGATCATCCTGCAGCAGTGGGGACCGATGCTTTGGCCAGGAGTGCTTCAGCTCTCTCGCGGTGATAAACGGGACATCGGTCATTCATAAAGGCTGCATTTTGGGGGACGAAGACCGATCCTTGAGCTGCAGATCCACACCAACTCCTCAGCTGGTGGTGAAGTGCTGCTATGGGCATTTGTGTAATATGAACATCTCCCTTAACTTCCCACTAAAAGGTGAGGCATTTGCAAAGAGAATCGTGAAGTTGTCCTGCTTTAAACTCTGCAGAACTTTATGAAATCGAATTTCAGGACAACTTTTTCAATGGATTTGGAAATTGTGAGTCTGTGGTAGCTGACTCCTTAGCCCCTTTTTTCGATTACTACCTACTCAACTCGGCTTGACTGGTTTTCCATTACAATCCAGTACTACCTAATGCATGTTGTTGTCATCATAGCAACATGTCCGAGCGTCTCACGGCGTAATAATATGCGACACGAATGCTACAAAAAGGTGGACATCGAGGCAAGAATAGACCTGCTGCTCGGTCTTGGCTGGCTGGTCTTGACATGGCTTTTCGTCAGACTCGGGGATCATGGCATAGTTTTTTGTAGCCATTTCCCTCGTTGCCAGGTTTCAAAAATGGTGGTTTTAAATTTCGTAAACAGCACTTTTGTGACTCATCAAGTGACGCTACCGACCAGCTAATTCAGTCTCACGACGTCACATTTTAGTACCACCTCGGATTGCTTGGAACCCTGACTGAGCAGGTACTAAAAAAATCACCTGGTACCGGGTACTATGACCCAATGGAAAACCCTAAAAACCATGGTGAACCGTGCCGAGTTGATTCAAGTAGGTACTAATGAGAAGAGGGCTCTTGCTAACAGCTGTACTGGTGGAATTCACAGATGGAAACCCAGACGAGAAGTGTTTGGACTGTAACACCACTTTTTTTCCTCTGAACTGGCAACAGTTGACAATGGATGCATTGTGTTTTGGAATTTCGGTCCATTCATCCCATTCAGCAAAACAAAGCAAAACAACATTTTGGCCATAACTCAAGAATTCGTACACTAATCATGAAAACACACTTCATAAATACCTAATAGGATAAAATAATCAAGAAGCAATCGTGCAGGACACGAGATCTTGTGTGCTGTTTCTTGCTTGTAGCTTTCTTTTGCAGCAATGTGTATATCTGCAGCACTGCCTGCTGTCATGACTACAACTTTGATTTCTAACAGAATCAGCTTTCTGTGCTATACGTGCAAACACATACAAAGTATTTTACCTAGAATATGAATATGAAAAAGAAAAAGCTCAGCAAGGTCGAGTCAGATCTCTTGCATTCATCTTTCTCAATACTGTAACTCAGAAAAATGTGCTCAAGTGGTGTATTTCTTTATACATCAAATGCCACTCTTTATCCTAGACCCTCGACTTGACTGACAATAAACACCCTTAGGTGAATAAAATGTAAACATGCATTTAAACTGAAATTTATTAAGTTATACAAGTGCAAGGTTGTAACTCTTGTTCAACTTGTTGTTCAAGCTCTGTGCTTCAGCACATTCAATTTCAAGCTAATGGACTCTGTTAAAGTCTGTTTAATTTCCAGTAGCTTTATGCTGTTATTATTAGAGCCGTGTGTGAGATGGAAACCTGTGTGTGAAATTATTCTACAGTATAGCTGCTTAGTTGTTGTGTGCTTTTACAGTTGATAATGAAAATGTATTTAAAATCGCAAGCTAGAAAATCAATTGATCTGTCACATGAACCATGTGCGTGCTTGTCAACAACTAAAATCAAAGATTTAAATAATCTTTTCTAGTCTGTTTGAGTAGGCCTCCTGAATAAGTGTTGTTTCAACAAAATAGTAAAATCTGTTTTATATCAGGAGACGCTAGATTCAAACAGGCAAAACATTTTCTGCTCTCTTAGGTGAATGTCCAGCAAATGGATCTTTTCAACGTGCATGATTCTGATGTGAGTGAATGCCTTTTAATTTAATGGGTTGCTAATGGTATTGGTCTAATGGGTTTCCCCACATATCTATTTCCTCTTATCAGATGTACAACTGTCTGCTGGCAGACCAGTCCTCAGAGACCAAGAGTGTGTATGCGAGGGCGGTGTGTGTGAACATGGCCATCGCTGCACAGGCCAGCACTGTTTCTCCGCTCTGAAGATGATTGATGGGGCAGCCGTCCAACAGAAGGGCTGCCTGAGGGACGACGAGGAGGGCAAAGCCACCTGTGCCATGCCACCCTCATCGGCCCATGTTGTCAAGTGCTGCCAGGGCCATCTGTGTAACATGAACGTCACTGTGCAAGCCCCAGGGAAAGGTGACTTTGTACACATTGTACAGATTTCTGTTGGCTGCTGTTCCTTCACGGGCCTTATGTAACTTAGGATTGTGCAAAAGTTTCATGGATTATTGGGGTTTTTTAACCAAAAGATAATCTTAATTCATTGCATTTTTTAAAAAGTTTTCTTTCTGAATCTTTTGCAGGTACAGTAGTCCAGAGTAAGTCCCTGAGCAAAGAGGAGCATGAGTGCGTGTGCGAGGGTGGTTCATGTGGAACACAGGATCGCTGCTTGGGCTACCAGTGTTTCTCATCTCTGACAGTCAGCGGCGGCATTATAATGTCCCAAAAAGGCTGCTTTAAGGTCTTAGAACAGAGCACGATGACCTGCAAGACCCCGCCTTCCACAGACCAGATAGTCGACTGCTGCCAGGGACACCTGTGTAATATGAACATAACTGTGGAGCTCCCTGTCAAAGGTACAGCACAATGCTACCCAGAATGCATCACATATCAGATTGTGCAAGATTTGCAAGAACTCTGCTCTCAGTGTTGAACTCTGAACTCTTTTTCCTTTTTTATCAAATCACTAACCACATTCAAAGTACTACCTAGATGTCTCATATTCAGAGAAGGAGTAGCCATATGGTTGGTTTATGCTACGGTTTATACTAAGCAACACACATTCACATTCTCCATCATCCTCTACTGAGATGGCTTCAGCTTCAGCTGTGAAATTACCTGCCATGGCTGTTCTGGACTGTTTCTGTTGGCTTGAGTTACACGTCCATGTGGTCACACTCCTGGCATGTCATGAAACAGAAAAAAAAGGGGAGACGGTGGGCAACTGGAGGGAGGTTTTGAATATTATTTAGTCATGGTCCACTTCTCTTCTTTTCTCTCAGTGGCTGTCAGGGCTGGCTGACAAGAGCCCAGAGGGTGAAGCCACCTGGGATTGAAAGAGTCAGGCATCGATACACAGAGCTTTTGTCCTTTTTTATTTCTTTCACCTGTACCTTAGCCTCGACAGTCATGCATTTGATACTACAGCCTAAATGACACATTTAGATCTAATATGCCTTAATCTTATCATCTTGGTTTGGCATTGAAGGGATAGATCAGTTGTGAAAATGATTATTGTATCCAGCACTTTCCACAAATGGTTAAAATACATATTTACAGTTTATTAATGTCAGTTCATTCTGTATTGTACTAGTACTAGTACTACATAGTATTACGCTAATGCTGTTTTGTTATTGAATTTTAGTTTTTCTCAAAAATATCCTAATTTAAGCCCAAAAAATCTTGAGTTTAAAACAAATAAATGAGGTGATACATCCCCATCTGTAAAAGCCCACATCTGACCACATTTCGGTGATACCATCCAGCAATACATGTACCATATACCGCTACTACCATACCATACCATACGCATGACATGCATACTTTCCTATATTGCAATCTTCTGTCGTTTGAATTCTCACAAATGCAGATAATCATGAAATAAAAAATTTTTATGTAACATTTTGCAGCTGAATGCATTTCGCCATGTGTGTTTGATTCAAATATAGTGAGCCCCTAGAAAGTGTTGCTAGTTATGTGTATTTGGAAGAAGGAGTTCATTATGCAAGTTGAGAAAAGGGGATCATTGTCTGTGCTGGAACCAGAGCCGAGCAGTCTTTTTCCTTGGAATGTTTGGAAAGTGTGAATGGTGGTCAGTTCCTCAGGATGGCCTCTGCTGACTTGATGAGCTCTACTATGTGTGCATATGAGTGAACACTCTTGTGTGTGGATATTCTTTATGCACCTTCACACCCACCCTGACTTGTTTCTTCAGGAAGCCTGCAGAGTGCTGCAATCCTCTGTTTTGTGTATGGTTGAATCCTCAACCTGTGTGGTCCAAGACCGCTCCCTCATTGTGTTTTAGAACATGTGATTATGTTCTAAAACCATCTAACGGGATGACCTGATAGTGACACTGTAAATTTTTTCTGTTCCCTTAACAGCTGATGAGCAATCCAGCTACAGTGTGACCACACTAGCTGTTGTCATCGTGGCACCCATCATTGTCCTCATCATCCTCTCTGCTGTCGCGATCCTGGTGTTCAGACGGATCCACCACAACCAAATGGAGAGGCTAACCTCCCGAGATGCTGAATATGGAACTATTGATGGCCTTATAGCTTCTAATGTGGGCGAGAGCACTCTAGCGGTGAGTAGTCGATGGCACAAAGGTGGCTACCTTCATAACGCACCTGAAAAACCAATTTTATTAGCAGCTCAAGGAATAGTATAATGCACTAGTTTGTTTGATATAAAGCTTAATCAAATTCCAGTCTTTTATTTGCATCCATTACTTTCCCTTTGTATGATGCCAGGTATGATGCACAGTTTCTACTGCAGACTTGCACTGTAACAGAGATCCAATAACAGAGATGTGTGATTCCTATCCTCTAATTATGTGTTGTATTACCTTGAGGGGTTCCTGTGATGATTTTTAAACACTGTTGGATTATTGGGGACTTTTACCTTCTCTTTGTACGCATTTCCACTATTTAAAAGATAAAAGAGTTGCGTCAGCTTCATAAACAGAATTCAATCTTGTGATTAAGCTGTGATGCGATGGCACTGTAATTATAGTCTCCTTCTCCTGCCATGAGTTAAACCTGTAAAACTCCCATGTTTGCCATTTAATAAAAAAGTACTCATGTTTTTAGTAATTTGAATGAAATTAGAGCTTGCTAGTGTCTAAACATAGCCTTATGTAGTTTCCACTTTAAGTATGCAAGAGTGGTGTTAAGTTTCTTATCATAGAGCAGGAGTAATCCTCTGTGCGGATGTCTAGTGGACATGCAAAAAGTGAGGACAACTACTCATCTGTGGTGTCCGCAGCTGTCAGCATGCATGTCTGCAAGTGTGTGTCATCCCAGCCTTGGTTTACTGGCTGTTTGGGTCGATTTGAGCTAGATCAGTCTCCGAATATGGTTAAATTGAACTGTGCAGACTGTTGCTCTGGACTTTCTTTCTTACTTTTAAGAACCGTTTGTTCTTGAGGAAAGAAAAGTTAAAGCAGTTGTACACTAGATGCATATGTATGAATTTTGTGGCTAAATGTGTGGGTGGTGCCATTGCTCCTCCCAGTTTTTTTCCCCCAGTCGGTTAGAGGGAATGTCTTTTGCTATTTCTTTTCTCTCCACTCATGCATGGATTGTGAGTTTTCTGCGGTTTTGAAGCCCGCTAAACTAATCCAGAATTTAGGTGGAGTCCTGTGGTTAGCATTTAGTCTGAAAGACAACCCAGCACATTCATTGGCTCACACACTGTGTAATCATGTTCAGCATAAACTGAGTCCAACTGGTGCCTTAACAAAATACTTGGTTGTTACCGTGCGTTTTACCATTCAGTAATCTTTCAAGAGTTGTTCTCTTTTGATAAACGTGTCTAAACTTGTGGTCTAAACTTTTGAAATTCCAGATTATCTGATTTATTTTTGCAGCACCACGAGAAAGATTATTATGAACAATGGCATGCTTGTGAAAAGTGTTTGTCCCTCGGTAGCTGCTGCCTAAACTTGCTCTCTGGTTCTAATGATATTGCAACGTACTGATCACATTCTGCTGCTTAACAGCCCGGCCCAAAGATGCCCTCCTAAAAACAATCCTCCTGCACCAAAGAGAGGGGTTTAAACTCTCTACAGAGCAACTCATCATTCATTTTATGGCCTCTGCCTTGCATTCCTGTGTTGTGATTCCAAATTGTCTCTCAGGCAGCTCTTGCATTATGCATTTGTTTATCTGAGCCATCACTCCCCTCTATTTTCAATCCTCATTCTCCCCTCCTAGTTAGTCATTTGTTTTGCTCAGCTGCTGCTGACTATGTTGCTGTGCACTGCCCTCCTGTGTTAGCGCTGGGATGCTGCACGTCTTGCAGATGAGATAAAAATAAAAGGCTTAGCAGCATTGCGCCTGTTTTGGAGTCTGGCCCTTGGATTAGATAAAATCTTCAGCACCCACACCAGTCACCAGGGAGGGGGTGGTACTTCTGTTATTTACTCAGCAGGGGGCACTCTGCAACACTAGCACAGAAACACACACACACACCCACCCACACACATTATCTTGGTACACACAGCTCCATCCCATGTGGGTGCCACATCAAAGACAGCCTGCTTGTTATTAATCTCCATCGGAGTCCCAGATGCTCCATATTTCACCATTTTTAGGCTTAAGCCACAGGATTCTTTTGGGACTGAGCTTTTCATTCATATAGATCACATGCAAATATATCCACAGACACACAAATAAATTCATAAGCTCTTTTTCTCAATTTAATTTTTTTTTCTCTTTCCCAGGATTTGCTAGATCATTCCTGCACTTCAGGAAGTGGCTCAGGACTCCCTTTCCTTGTTCAGAGAACTGTTGCACGACAAATCACACTAAATGAGTGTGTGGGTAGGTGTCCTGTCAAAAGCTGTATTCCTATTTGCAATAGCACAGTTGCGGAAACAAAAAATCTGCCTCCTCTTTTCATTTTAAGGTGACACGGTAACTGAGCAGACTAAAGGTCCTCTGGCAAAGAAATGTTGAGATGTAAAGAGTACTCCACCACTCAGATTAAGCATAGGGGCAACTTTACAGCTTTGGCAGCACAGATTGTGAAGCGACAGACCTGCACAGCCATGTATATTGCGTGCTTATATACCGACCAGCAACAACATTAAAAGCACTGATTTGTGAGGTAAATAACATTGGTGCTCTCGTCAGAAATTTGCTGGGAAAACACAGTTCCTGGCATTCATTTGGATGTTACTTTGACACTTACCACCCACTTAAATATTGTTCTTGAGCACCCCCAACTGGGAATCAACACTCACCAAAAGCAGCATCCTCCTCCTGCAGCATAATCTTTCTCACCACAGTTTAAACTGCAGAAACCGACAGAGTCCAAAGTGCTACCCTGCTTTTAAACTTTCTAGAACCCAGTATAATCGAGCATCTACAAGAGCAGTCTTGTTAAGAAGGCCCATCCTGCAACCAATGGCAACCAGAGGTTATAGTGCTAATGTCACACACACACACACCCTGAAAGCCTCTGGTCTTAATTTTGTTGTCGATGGGTGTATACCAGATTACAGTACTTTAGAGTCTCAAGTTTGAGATATATATATTAAGATAGAGCTGATCATTAATATAGCTAGTACAGTAATTTACAACATTTCATGTAGTATGAAAGTACTGATAGGCCTACAAATAGAAGTTCCTGGTTCATATTTAACTTTTCATGTCTTGAAAAAGGTGTAAGACTAAAAAGTCCCGTGTGAGCATTTCAAAACATGAAATTCAGGAACTTCCAAATCTTCAGATAAATCATCAAGAGAATAAAAATATGAATTTGAAATTGGTTGCAAAACAGACGAGCAGTGTGAGCTTATCGTGAAAGTGGGCCAGAGTGAATGTGCAACAGTTCAGCAGTGAAGTCTCCAGAGCCACAATTGCAATTCAGTCTTGAGATTGTTTTATGATAAGTGTCAGTGACAATGCTGGCAAGAGTCAGCATATTTTCAGAAAAACAAATTGCCACAATGTGTTGTGGCAATTTGTTTTTATGAAAAGGTACTCATGTTGAAAGTCACTTGTGTTGAAATGACTTCCCTAACCCTGCGTCACTCTAAACCATTTTTTATTACAGTTATGACTATATTAATTGTTTTTTGGCCACTGGGGGGCAGTATAATAAGCTGTCAAATATAGTAAGCCTACAAAGTTATGGCTACTAATAAAATATAAATATAAATAATTTAAGGACATTAGCATTCAAAGTACACTTTTTTTTGCCCTGATACATATTATTTCAAATCACTTCCCTTTAGGTTATCTTGTTTACTATCTTTTAACAGGTAATTGTTTGTAGCTGTTAAATATTACACTTTATTAACTATCCCTTCAGTATCTTGATAAGTTAAAAAGCTGCAGAGATGTTTATGCTATAACAAATATAATGAATCTTCATTGTTGCCACAAAAATGATTAGTGCAGGTTTGAATGTTACACATAATGGGGTCCACCAAGTGTGCTCATAGTAAATTTGGTGGAATATTAACATGATGGTGTGTGTGTGTGTGTGTGTGTGTGTGTGTGTACACCGATTCATAATTTTTCTTTTTACTTGTCAGGCAAGGGCCGTTATGGTGAAGTGTGGAGGGGCCAGTGGCAGGGAGAGAATGTCGCAGTTAAAATTTTCTCCTCTCGAGATGAAAAGTCTTGGTTCAGAGAGACTGAAATCTACAACACTGTGCTGCTGAGACATGAAAACATCTTGGGTATGCAACCTTTAATAAATGATCAGGTTTAGTGAGCTCTGATATGCACTGAAGGACACAACAACCATTAAAGTTGATATCATATCAAGCTGTCACTCTTAGGAGTAATGCATGAAAACTATATAGGTAGTGTGTTGTATAAGGATCAATGCATGCTAATTTCTCCTTGGTTGCATGTTTACATTTCTGTTGATGAGCAATATTTAATTTCATATCTCTCCACGTAGGCTTCATCGGTTCAGACATGACCTCAAGGAACTCCAGCACCCAGCTGTGGCTCATCACTCACTTTCACGAGATGGGCTCCTTGTACGATTACCTTCAGCTCAACACCCTCGACGCAACCAGCTGCCTCCGGATGGCGCTCTCCATTGCGAGCGGTCTGGCGCATTTACATGTCGAGATCTTTGGCACTCATGGCAAGCCAGCTATTGCCCACCGAGACCTGAAGAGCAAAAACATATTGGTGAAAAAGAACGGACAGTGCAGCATTGCTGATCTCGGTGAGAACAGTGTACGCGTGTGTTTGTGTTAACACAGCAGGGGTCCACAACGTTGCAATGACACGCATGGCAGGCAGATGTTGCAACAATTCATAAACATGATTCTTTATAGAAAAACTTTGAAGGATACAATTAGCAATGTCTTTGCTTCGAGGCTTCTTCTCTTCCTATATCAGTGCTGATGTGGCAGTGTTCCTTGAAGGGCGATAGTCAGGAGATTACTGCAGCGGCTACATGCGCCTTAACGGCAAAAAAAAAAAAAAAAAAAAGTGACTGTCAAAGATATTACTGGTGACACGTGAAGCAACTAAAGCGGCCGGTATACCGGGCCCCTAAGCTGACTACAAAATGTAGACCACCATTTGCAAAGCTGTGTGTAGGGTCTCCAAGATCAGTGCACAAACATGCCGTTTTTTGAGACATTAAGGGAGCTAATGAGTTGCTTGTTTTTAAACAACTCGTGAGGGGGTATTTTTTTTTTACATCAGCTACATCTGTCAGTGTTATGAAGGTTTAGTATGATATGACGGCTAAAACCGAAGAGTTGAAGCAGAAGGTAAATGCTTCCTTGGTCTTGTTCTGTGCCACTTCATCATATTGTGCCATAAAGGAAACGTAGAGTAGGACGTTCTTTCCTCCGTGTGCCACAGATAAACATACATGTTTGGGCGAGAGTTATAAAACGGTACAGCGGGCAGCTATAATATTCACAGAATAACGGTTTTAGTATTTTATTCAGTGCAATCAATAATACGGCTTCGATAAAAGCAGATCCGAGCTGATGCACGTGAAGATTAGCTGAAGAGGTTAATTGAAGGTTACAATTTATTCATTGCGTTAGAGACGTATTTGCTTCATGGTCGCTCAATTTGCATCTGTCTGCTCGGCCGCATTAGTTATTTCAAAAAAATATCCTCTTCCAGGTGTATTGCTTTGCCCTTAACCGAAAACACATTTTGAGGACCTTGGTTCACTTTATCTAATGCATCAATGTTCCGTTTGCAGATGCTTGAATAACATCTGATTCGGGGACAAGCCATAACCTGGCGACAGGCTTGACATGTTTACAGGCTCGATTTAATAAATTCTGGTCTGAATGACGCATTTTGCTGTCCTTACAAACATGGTAGCTGCTGTTTGTCTCTTAAGTGAGTTGTTGTTGGGTTGGAGTACATCCTGTTTGGGTGAACAGGGCCACGCATGGTGAACAAATAGCCTGCCAATTGACTGATTTAAAAGATGAGTGTCGGAAAACTTAGTCTCCTCTTCACTCCAGTATCTGTATTAGTTATTGTTGCCTCACTTGGATGATGACTTAATTAAAAATATTTAGTAATTACCTCCTTCAGAGAGTTAAAGTATTTTCTCTTTTAATCTCATTGATTACATGTGTATAAGAGGCGATTTTAAAGTGTTCTTTTGTTTCCATTTAAGGTCTGGCTGTCATGCATTTTCAAGACACAAACGAGTTAGACGTGGGGAACAACCCTAAAGTTGGAACAAAGCGCTACATGGCCCCTGAAGTACTCGATGACTCCATCCAGATGGATTGCTTTGAGTCCTACAAGAGAGTGGACATTTGGGCCCTGGGCCTCGTCCTGTGGGAGATCGCCAGGAGGACAGTCAGTAATGGTCAGTACATGTTTTACACAACACTGTCACAATCACAGCTCTGACTTGTTGTGATTACGTCACTAAGGCACAAGGCCATCTGTTAGTCTTGGATGGGTGTAGTAGAAACTATAAGAACAACTGCAAATATTATGTACGCGATCAGAAAATTGGGCATGGCATATTTGTGCTGTTTGCAAAGATACTGCGTTGAGGTGGCTGTAGTCAGGTCTTTCTTCAGAAACAAAACAAGTCATGGCTTCAGCTTGGACTGAATAAAATCTTTTTATATATTGATTTAAAGATGTAGCCTTGATACACTTTCTGTCAACTAAAACCCACTTCTTATCTTCACTGTTAAAGGGGCTTTAAGCAGGATTTAAGATATTGAGTGGACATCTCAGTCAGCCATCATTGTAATATATATTTTTATACTTTACACTCTTAAACTGTGCAATCGCCGAAGTAAGCTGTTCTTCTTTGTCTTCTTCTTCTAGGAATTGTAGAAGATTACAAGCCCCCTTTTCATGACGTGGTCCCAAATGATCCGAGCTTTGAAGATATGAGGAAGGTTGTGTGTGTGGATCAGCAGAGACCCAACATCCCAAACAGATGGTTTTCAGACCCAGTAAGTAATTTTACTTTTGTCAGAAATACACAAATGCAGTCTTGTGAAAATCCAGAGTTTTTAGTGTTTACATCAGGCACATTGATCGATTTCTATTTTTCCTCTTTTTTAGACTTTAACCTCCATGGCTAAACTCATGAAGGAATGCTGGTACCAGAATCCGTCAGCCAGATTAACGGCGCTGCGCATCAAAAAGACTCTCACAAAGATCGACAACTCTCTGGATAAAATAAAAACAGACATTTGAGCCTTCCCCGAGAAGACGAAGCAGGCATGTACTGAGGGCCACTGAAGATGTCCGGAGGATGGACCACCTTAGAGAAAAATCTCAAAAGATAAATGACTCAATAATTTCAGTGCCCTTATAGTGGCACAGACTTATATTTATTTTTAAAACATTTGAGGGACATATTTTGGCATCCAAAGATGGCTTACCAGGCATTTCTGAGACTGCCGATGGTCTTAGAAATGGGAAAATATCTATTTCAACTTTTATCATAGGAGCTCGACTATTAGAAATGTTCTTCAAGGAAGAAACGTACCAGGGCATTTGAGTAGGGTTGCTTGTTTTTAGAAGAGCAGATTTTGTTTGAAAAAATTTTTTAGCTTGGAAAATGTCTGAACGCGGTCATTTCTTTATCTCTTTAATTGTACTGCGTTGTTCTTTTGCATTGCGGTCGATCCATTTGGAAAAGATGTCAACTCGCCGGTTGAACTTGCCTAGTCAGTCAGCAAACTTTGTAACACAGTGAACATGTCGAGGTGTGTTATGTCTCACTTTGTGTCCAGTACCACCGTTTACAGTGCTGTCAGAACAAGTTTCTTGGGATTTTGCTCAGTTCTGTAACATTTAGTTGTACAGTCAAGTCAGTGGCACCATCCTTTTCCTGATATCGTCCAACTACAAGGTACTCTGTTGCAAACCTTCTGTATATCATCATTAACTTTACATTGAATTATTTTTATCTTGTTTTGCTTCTTCAGCTTTACAGAGACATATGCTAAAAGAACAAATACAATATCTGCTAGATGATGCTGAACTGTATTCCTCCAGAGGCCTGTAAGTAAGCCTGTAAAGCCTGTATATTGTCTTAACGCGTGCATTGTCGTCTTAATGCGTGCATTGTCAAAGTAACTGAAGTCAAACTTCAGCGTTTTTTAATTTCTTTAACATTTTATATCAATTAGTTATTTCTATTAATTAAAATGGGGAAAAAAAGAAGTAAATTACATCTGACTGGTGTCTTGATACTGTGTCGAAGTGTGTAGAAATATCTCAAAAGTCTGTAGAAGAAATTCACAACCTTGAGATCAATTCAAATGGTGATGCCTTCTCTTTTTCTCTGCCACCACCTTCATCAGGCTCCTGTTCAGTAAATCTTTCTTCGTTTGATGTGACCTTTCTTCAGAGTCATCACAGGATATCTTGAAGGTTTAATAGATTTTTGGAAGTCTGGCTGCTATGCTTACATGTATTTGATGCCTCGAATCATGAAGCAGTACCTCCGTTTATTTCCCCCATAACCTATCAAAATCTTGGCAAAGTTTTCTTAATTTTGAGAAGTAATCCACAAGACTACAGAGAGGTTTTCTAGCCTCACCTGTAAAGTGTTCACTGAAACTTCTTATCATACCTTTGCTTTATTCCTGATTGGTAAATGTTAATATGCTAAAATGCTAAGGTGGAAAATTAGTTGTATGAAATCGAGTGGTTAGCCTCAGCATGCTTCTGCTGGCTCTACTCTAAAATGCCCATTTTCATTTCACTTTGTTCAAGCTGGGCTTTGGTGTCAAGATGCTATTATGACAGCTGCTAATCCGTTAAGTCTTAACTATCCAGCTGTTTTGTCCTTGCACTTTCTGAGTACAGTGTCTGACTGTTCTGAACTTTTCCAGCTTCTACGAATCTAACAGAAAATTCAGCTCACAGTGCATAATAAGGACCATTTCCATCTCAAGATGAATATCAGAGCTTTTTATCTTTCCAGCTAAAACAGCAGCTTCTTTTCTGACTGCTGGAGATGTGCTCTAACAATGCGAACAGTTAATTTTTTATTTATTTGGTGAAGGTAAAAAGCCCAAACTTTGGGGAGAGCAGAATTTGGCAGTGTCAAACTGGTTACAAACTAATTCATATGCTAAAAGAGCTATAGGCCAGATGATTGAATGACAACAGTGGGTGATTAACCATGCTAAGATGCCCTGTGTGTGTTGAAAACAGCTGTCAGACTTTTAAGGTATATAAGTCTTCATATTCAGTGTCATTTGAACCGTCCTGAGACCGCAGAGCAGAGGTTTGACTCCAGCAGTTTTAATGTCACATCCTGTTTCTTTGAGGTTTAGGGCTCTGTATTCATTATCTGAGAGGGTGTAATGGTGATGAAGTACGTGTTACTTTTTTCCAGTAAGTAAATATCAAAATATTTGAAAGAATTTAAATGTTAAAAATGAACAATATAGAGTCAATTTATACCAGATTATATAAAGGCACTCATGGATAAACAAAAAAGACCCAACGTCATGAAAATCCTACATCAATCCTACAGTCATGGATGTTTTTTTCTTTTCTTAGCACCCTCAATAAACATTGTGCATTTGCCTGTCAGTGTATCTGTACAAGTTCTCATTTTTCTTATGTTGGTCTTGTGACTTGATGTTCTCCTAGTAGTGCCTTGATGAAGATTGTGTCAGTCACCACATTAGTAGTGATTCATTTTCTTAACTGCCAAGGACCAAAGCTGGTGCAGTTGGAGCAGAGACTGTTTGTGCTGCGAGAACCCCCAAAAAGCCAAGGTTCCTGGATTCAGAGTTTACTAGTGGCTGCCTCACCACTTCTTGTTTGTAGACAATGTGCGTACTGCCCATGAATAAATAGATTTTTTTTTTAAAAATCCCGATTTTTGATTGTGTTATGATCGTGTAGCCTGTGGGATCAAACCTTCATTGTCTCTGGAGACATTGGCACCTTGTGTTGCTATGTAGCCTCAGCAGCAGAAACATGGCTGGCTGTAAATAACTTCTTTCATGCAGGTGAGTCCAGCTTTGAATGTACAGCAACGTCATTCACTGTTGATCAACTAAGTGTTTACTTTCTGCCTCACTAGGAGAGAGGTCAGAAGTGGCGTCTGTGCAGCCTAATTTTTTTTTTTTTTTTTATTCTGATTTTGCTTCTCTCATCCAGGGAGAGCAGTTGGAATGGCCACAAGATAGGCTGACGGTTGGATTACCAAACTCAAAACGGGCAACTGTCAGATCCTCGAGGGCACCACGCTTGCAATTAACTGATTTTTTTTTTTCTTTTTTTTTTTTTTTAAGGAGTTTGGAAGTACCAGGGACCAGCGTAATTGTCATAGACTGTATATAAAAGATGGGAGTTATCCACAGGACTGCAAACTCACATTTGAGAGCTTGAAAGAGCCTGAACAATGGTGGGCTAAAGCTGCCTTGGCATCCACCTGGCAAAGCAGCTGTACACCAAAGTTTTAAAGGGTAAGTTAGCAAAAAAAATAATAGTAATAATAAAATCACCCTTGTACTATTTTCACATGTAGATCAGATACCATTAATAGCTTTTTAAACAGGTTGTAAACATACTTTAAGCTGTAAATCTGCAGTGACTTACTTTCTACAGCAAGCTTGAAGTGCCCACGGGAGGAACTGCACTTCTTAAGTGTATACTATAAGTGTATACTGCAAAGGTGCACAGTAGATATTTCTATTATAAATGTTCCAAAAAAAGTACCACAAACCTGTTTAAGATATTGATTCTGATTCGCTGTGATGGTGTGGTGAAGCTGTGTTGGTATCCACCTGTCAGTCATAGCAATCATGACCCCTAATCCCTAATGCATCATTTTAAGGCTTAATGACATTTTAACATGTTAACAGGCAGCTGCAAAGGAGAATAATCCTTGAGCAGTTTTTTTTTATTTTAAATAAAGGGAAACATTGGCTTCCTTAGAGACCAAAACTGTTTTTGTAGCAGGCTGTAAACATGTTTTTAAAGTTGGGCTTTGTAACATGGGAAGTGACTGGCTTTTTGGGGTCAGCCTCCATTGGAGAAACTGAGGTTTTGGCACGTTGCATTGGCTCCATTTTTTTTAAGCCTGGAAGGCTCCCACTGTGCGTAAAGGGGCTTGGAGTACACATTCATATGACACATTCGTTCCTTCTGCATTAACTGACACTTATTGCACTCAGGGAAGTACAGAGTGCTCATGTTCTCATGTGTTCATTAGGGAGCTCAGCAGTCTTGTGGATTATTTATTAATAATGTATGGGTTGCAGATTGGCCAGATTGTGGAGTTGTAGTTAGTAATTTCCACAGATTACACTGTAAATAGTTTAAAATCTCTGCACATTTAATAAATAGACCTCAGTGAGCAGAGGTAATTTCCATATCCCTTTGGCAGACAGGAGGTGGTGTTTCATTGGACCGACAGCAGTTAAATGGATGTGCGACGCACTTTCTCTCTGGCTCCCATTCACATGTCTTTATCAGAGGTCTGCAGCGCTAATCCTCTTAAAGTCCAGTCAACAGAGGCGGAGCAAACTGCGTTTCTCGATCGTTTACAGACGGAGACGTTTGTGGCGGGGTGCATGGCCGACGGACTTTACCGCAATGTTTATTTGCTCTGTTTTCTGTAGAGTAGCTGTGTAAGCGGTGCGTCAGAGAGGGAGCAGATGCGGCTCTTACCATGACTCGTCCCGGGAAGCAGTGCTTTCAAGCGGCGTTGATTTTCCTGACTGTCGCCCAGCTGACTGCAGGTACACAGTCTGAGGGTGCAAAATGATAATAAGCTGTGCCATTTGTATTTTTTAAGGTTTTTAATGAGTTCTTAGACCGCCTACACTAACTCAATTAGTATAGTTGACTTTTCAAAATCACACAAAACTTTATAGCAATAAAAAAAAAAATGAAGAAGAATTTGTCTCCAAAGATATGATCAAAAGTGGAGCATTTTTTTTTCTTATTTTGCTGCTGTTAAAAAGGTCTGAAAGTAAAGTTACCGCCCACAAACAGCATGTGTGCGGTGGGGAAGTATGGGTGTTAAAAGACTGTAATTTCAAGCTGTCAGTGAATAGGTTTGGCTCAAATATGTGGAATAAATGTGGTCAGCTTTAGTACACATGCTGTGATATATCATTTCAAAGACCTTAAAGCATTTACCTTGTAGCCTGTTTATATCTAGGATTAAAACGTTTTGCTTAATATGAAATATAAATATTAATTATTTGTTTTCTGCGATTGAATTCATACTACACCCCTGAAAGAATAGTTCATCATTCAAAAATAACCTGGAGCTACTGTCATAACTTGATAAATGAGGTAATAATTCAAGTGTCTCTAAAGGGATTTGTAACTTTTTCTTGTCATATGTTTTGCTTTTGAACTACTTGTTGCCCAAAACTACATATTTGCTGAAAACTGGGCTGCAGAAAATCCTAAATTGAAGGCTTCACAATTTTCTTTTATTCTACAGACCAAACAGTTCATTACAGAAATAGATGTCAGGTTAACTGATGAAAACAATCTATAGTTTCCACCCACATTCATGCTGCATCTTGAAGTGCTGTAACACTGCATTTGATATTGATGAAATACATTAAGAATTGGAGAATCCGCAGCCACTTAACTCCAGACCTGGAAAACAGAACAGGTGCTACTTCATAAACACAGCCTGGCTTGTTTGGCTGCTGGTGGGCTCAGGTACACCGAAAGACATAAACTCCAAAACTGTGTTAGACTGCAGTGCATGTTTTACTACATTTCCAGTGGGGCAAGTACACGGTGGGTTGAACTGGATGAAAACTATTGTTTGGCAAACTTTGTTTGTCAGGATCTTTGCCTAATGCATTTTGTTGAAAATAATTAAAAAGCACAAGTTTTTTCATCTGACATTCTCTGACTTAAGGCAAAAGGTTACAGGTGACTTAAGGTAAGTTGTACTAGTTGCACTCTTTTAGTCACTCTGGGTCACCTTTAGCTATGTAATAGCCTAATTTCTAATGCAATGATTAAGTGAAACTTTTAAAAACAACCAGTTATTGCTTAATTGCGCTAAATGCTTCTTATTGCTTAATGCCTCCAAATTATTCTACAAGCCTCGGTGCTATTCTTCTAGACACTGGAATTCCATCCGAATAATTGAGCTACTTAAAAGGTTAACAAGGCTCATTAAATGCAGATTTAAGTAAAGCCAGAATAATAATAAGTAAAAATGTCTCTA